TGTGTGTGTGAGTACGTGCGCGCATGCGTGCGTGTGTGTGTGTATGCATCTGTAGAAATTTTAGATAGAGTATATCTGTAAAATGACAATATGAATAAAGACAAACTTAGCCGACGCGTTTCGTCCTCTGAGGCAAATGTAAGGATTTTATTTTTGTGACAAGTGTTTTATATCAAAAGAACACCTCTCTCTCTCTCTCTCTCTCTCTCTCTCTCTCTATATATATATATATATATATATATATATATATATATATATATATATAAATATAAATATAGATAACTAGACTCGTTTCGAAAAACCCTCGAATTTTTGATTTGCTAATCAAATCAATCTCGAGGAAAAAAGTTTTAAAAAAAAAGAGCTACAAACATGGACTTCTGCCGACAAAAAAATCGCACAGATGCAGGTCTGAAGCCCAAAGAAAAAAAACCCGATACGAGTAACAACTAACTAACAAAAGAGCTCAATACAACCGTAGAGCAGACCTAGATACACCTAGTGAGCCAGACAAACCTACCCAGGTTTCACCTAAACGGATCGTTAGGGAAAGTCAAGCTTCCCTGACGATCCGTTTAGGTGAAACCTAGGTAGGTTTGTCTGGCTCACTAGGTGTATCTATATATATATATATCTATATATATATATGTGTGTGTGTGTGTGTGTGTGTGTGTGTGTGTAAAAAGACAAACGAAAACGTTTCTTTGTCGAGGCGTATCACTCAATCATTATTATCTCTCCAAAATCTTACAGTATCAAAATATTTTCTGGCTTTAAATAACCTGCAAAGTGTTGATAATCCGTAAAAATGAATCAATCTGTCAATAAAAAAAAAGATCAATCATTTTGCTCATTTCAAAAATGGGAAAAATGTAAATAGGACATACGTTAATTTACGCGCTTTCAAGAGAAAAAGAAGATAGCCAGAGAACGAAAGGTAAACTAACAAGAAAGAGGAGAACAAACAAAGAGTGGTAACCGAAGAGAGAGAGAGAGAGAGAGAGAGAGAGAGAGAGAGAGTCTGAACAAGAGAGACAGACAAAGTGAGGTAGATAGACAATGGGAGACACGGAGATAGAAAGACGCAGAGACAGAAAGATAATGGGAGATAAAAAGAAAACAGAGACAAAGCGATAGATAGCAAGAGAGACAAAGATATATATATATATATATATATATATATATATATATATATATATATATATATATTGTCATCCACAGACAGACTGTTTCGCTGTATCAGAGCTTATCAGTGTGGCTAAAGGTCCGGTTCTAGCTAGGATCGAAAACCGGCTGAATTAGCGTCGATCAGAGATTCTACCATATATATATATATATATATATATATATATATATAAAGTAAATCATTTTCATTAACATTGCCTGATGACGGGACAAAAAAAATTTGAAGTCCCGAAACAGAAATTTTCGTGTCTCAATGTAAAATATGATCAACGTAGTATCGAGTAATTGGATTCTTAATCTGACTGTTCCTTCTCATTATATATATATATATATATATATATGTGTGTGTGTGTGTGTGTGTGTAAAGAGACAGACAGGCAGACAAAAAGAGAGAGACAAGAAGTTGATGAGAGATAGAAAAACAGACGAGAGACACAGAGAAAGAGATAGGTTAGGTACCTATCTCTTTCTCTGTGTATATATATCTTTGTCTCTCTTGCTATCTATCGCTTTGTCTCTGTTTGAAGATGAGAGATAGAGAGATAGAAAGACAGACAAGAAGAGAGACAAACGAAAAGAGAGACAGCAAAAGGAGAGACATATAGATAAAGGGGTAGATAAAAAGACAGTCAAAAAGAGATAGACAGAAAGACTGTCAAGGAGAGGGAAGGTCAAAGAGAGATACAAACAAAAAGATGCAGATAGATAGATAGATAGATAGATAGATAGATAGATAGATAGATAGATAGATAGATAGATAGATAGAGTGATTATAAACAACTTTAGATAGATAGATAGATAGATAGATAGATAGATAGATAGATAGATAGATAGATAGAGTGATTATAAACAACTTAGATAGATAGATAGATAGATAGATAGATAGATTATAAACAACTTAGATAGATAGATAGATAGATAGATAGATAGATAGATAGATAGATAGACTGGGATAGAAAGAAACAGAGAAGAATAGGAAGTTAATGACAGACACTGATAGAGAGACAGAAAGACAAAGAGAGAGAGGGGGGAGACAAAGAGATAGATAGACAGACAGACAGATTGACAGAGTGATGGAGACAGACAAGTAGACAAATAGAGAGCAGTTTATAATTCATGTTGTCATTATTAAGTGATTTCTGTCCATTTATATTCCTTCGTGACCTTCACCTTCCACCCGTTGTTATATTTGGCACACCGCTTCCGTCCTTTTCTTTACTTTATGGTCCTTGTATAAGTTTATTATTATTTATTTACACGATTGCCCGATTGGCATTGGTAAAGGAATGTCAATGTACAGCACGAATCGACCAAGAGTTATTGAAAATTTTTATAGCGCCAGTCAACAAAGCCGGTTAATTTCTTAAATTTTTTATCGTTTTGCTTGGTGTCGGGTAACTTTAAATTAGACGAGACGTCATAGTTCACCTATGTCTACTCATATCTATCTATCTATCTATCTATCTATCTATCTATCTATCTATCTATCTATCTATCTATCTGTCTAAGTCAGGCTGTTTATCTATCTATCTGTCTATCTATCTATCTATCTATCTATCTATCTATCTATCTATGTCAGGTTGTTTATCTGTCTATGTATCTATCTCATATATATATATATATATATATATATATATATATATATATATCAGTTTGTTCACATCTATCTATCTATCTCAGTCTGTTAATATCTGACTATCTATCTATATATCTCAGTCCATATCTATCTATGTATCAATAGATTTATCGAGCTCAGTCTAATCACATCTATCTATCTATCTATGTCAGGATGTTTATCTATGTATCTATCTATATCTCTCTCTCTCTCACCCCCCCCACACATATATATATATATATATATATATATATATATATATATATATATATATAAAGGAAAGAGGTTATAGTAGTTCCAACGAGAGAAAAGTGTGTATAATAAAAAGAAGAGAGAAACCGCAAACGTTTTTGGTTGTAATGTGGATTTTTTTTTTTACAAAATATATTATGCTTTATTTTCCATAATTTTGCTACACGAGTTTCTGGTTTCACGACCTTCATCAGGCAAAGAGTGGATATTTCCAAATATTATTAAAAGGAATTAATTTTTCTTGTTTTTCAATGCTAAATATTCTCCATATTAGGCATTCTCTTTTTTCTGTATGTGAGTGATCCAAATGTCTTCCTTGAACTTGGCGTATACGGAATAAATTCCAATAACCAAAAATACTACTGTTAATAGAGTGCTCAATATAGAGTAGAGCAAATATAATTTATTCGAAAATTATAACATAAATATGTTATAAAATCGCTACAAAAATAGCTATTTTGTTTCAACACATCTGGACTCTTATCAATTCAACATCATCAGTGATTTTATAACATATTTATGTTATAATTTTCGAATAAATTATATATATATATATATATATATATATAGGAATGAGTAGGAAAAATGTAAATACACGCACAAATACTTGCACTTATATAATTATATTTATTCCTAAGGTATTATAAATACAGTGCTCAATGTTATGAAGCAGAGCTATACGTATATATTTGTGAATATACATAATATCCAACGTCGATAACACTACTCGCAGTTTCATGCAGTCCCTGAAGATTATATTAACTGTATGAAACTCGAGGTAGTGTTACGACGTTGGATATTACGTATATACACTAATATATTTATATCTGATCTGGTAAATAATTAATTTGGAGCACTATTCAATCCTGCTTATATAACTTGGCGCCATAAAATAAAATTATCAGAAAGTGAGGGGTGAGGAAAGAGTGGCAAGAACCGGAAGAGAGAGAGAGAGAGAGAGAGAGAGAGAGAGAGAGAGAGAGAGAAAAGAAATTTGTAAATATGATCATCCGGTTTCTTATTGGGCCAGAGTATGTTTATTAACGTGTTTGCATTTAGACATTACTTCAGACCGTTCATTCAACTACTTGTCCATTCCCCATTATTAATTGAAATCATCAACACCGCCGCTTCAATTTAATGGATGTGTCCACTCAAATTTAACGCGAATTATTTTGGACTCGTCGGTGTAATTGGGTGAATCAGGAAGTTGCCATGTTTATCTATATTCGTCCTTCCCTGTTCTTTGTCACGTTTTTGATTATTTGCGTCTATTTCATGCTTTGGCATTGGAGCACCTTCTTCGCCGGATAAGGGACAGGGCGAGCAGTCTGGCTTTACGCGGAATCACTGTCTCTGGATAATCTCGATCAAGGGTTTCTGCGTGGGCCAATGATGTATCCATTTTCGTGTCGTGCTGCAGCGACATTGGAGTGGTACAGAAGGCGCTTGAACGGCACGAAAAGGTGCCAGGAACCAAGATTAACCGCAGCAAGTCTTTCAGCTTGCGGTTAGGTACCTGGAAGGTGGTCGCCTTTCCGGGGCCCTTTAGTTGGACAGACAGACCCGTGCACATTCTTGGAGTGTGGAACGGGTGCAGTTTCTAGCCGAAGTTTGATTTCGACGGCGGTTGTCCGTAAAGTGTAAAGATGAGACGTGTGCCACTTAGGCCTTTCCTCTTATCGATTGGCAGTATTTCGTCCCCTGCAAGATCCGAAAGCGAGGTCATTGGGGCCTTTGTGGTTACCTCCTTCATGGGTATCTCTTTCTCTCCATTGTCTCCGCACTTGCTGATGTTTGGACTCGTCGGTGTAATTGTGTGAATCAGGAAGTTGCCATGTTTATCTATATTCGTCCTTCACTGCTCTTTGTCACATTGTTGATTGTTTGCGTCTACTGAGCTTTTCTCTTGTATTCTGTTCTGTGCGCTGAAAGGATAAAGACCACCGCTATGTCGGATTCTCCTCAACAAAAGGATCAAATGTCCACGCTAGCAAGTCCATCGGCATCGGCGGCGAACAGGCCCAAGAAGAAGGGACCGGAGTATTACAACAACCTTAGGGAACAGTGCGGGAAGCTTATTTCAGGCAATGAACTGATAGCAGTGCCCCCTGTTGCGAAGGCGATCAATACGCGGACCATCTCCCTGCTGACGACAGATATCAAGACGAGAAAATTTATTGTTGTCAAGAGGGACGTGATGGAGGAGTCCATGAAGAGCCTTAATATTACTGCCAAAATGTTGGCCCCTAGATCCAATGTCATGTGGGGCATCATGTTGACAACGAAGGAATCAGCAAAGCTGCTGGCTGGAAATATCCTCACCACCAAATCGGTGAGGTTACAAACCGAATACATGGGCACCCGGAAAACTCGGATTGCCTTGCACGGTGGGGCCATGTACATCAACGAGGACCATTTGAGGGTCTTCTTCGCGGAGTACGGACAAGTGGAGTAGGTCTCCTCTGTAAAGAGCAAAACGTTCTTTGCCACCAGTAACTTTGAAGTTACGTTGACAATGACCCGAGAGATTTTTGTAGATGTCCCACATGTTCTGACCTGTGGCGGACGAAACATCTTCATCGTGGTCAAAGGCCGCTGGTCAGGTGGTGCTGGGGGCCATCTCCCGAAATTGTTTCCCGCAAAGAACCCAGCACCGCAAACATCAGCAAGTGCGGAGACAATGGAGAGAAAGAGATACCCATGAAGGAGATAACCACAAAGGCTCCAATGACCTCGCTTTCGGTCCTTGCAGGGGACGAAATACTGCCAATCGATAAAAGAAAAGAGGAAAGTCCTAAGTGGCACACGCCTCATCCTTACCCTTTACGGACAACCGCCGTCGAAGTCAATCTTCAGCTAGAAACCGCACCCGACTCACACTCCAAGAATGCGGATGGGACCCTGTCCAACTAAAGGGCCCCGGAAACGCGACCACCTTCCAGGTACCTAACCGAAAGCTGAAAGACGTTGCGGTTAATCTTGGCTCTCGTCACCTTTTTGTACCGTTCAAGCGCCTTCTGTACCACCTTAATGTCGCTGCGGCACGACACGAAAATGGATACATCATTAGCGCACACAGAAATCCTTGATCGAGATTATCCAGAGACGGTGATTCCGCGTAAAGCCAGACTGCACGCCCTGTCCCTTAGCCGGCGAAGAAGGGGCTCTAATGTCAAAACGTGAAGTAGGGGCGACAGCGGGCAATCCAGTCGGACCGACCGTGACAGCGCACAAACGCGCGGGCGTTTTCCGTTCACCTGTACAACAGCAATGGGGGAGCGATACAAGAGGTTGATCTACTTGCAGAAGTCGGGTTTGAATCCAGCGGTACTAATGGTCGACCCTTTCCTTGGACTGATCTAAATTAATCAGCGCGGCTTTATCGTCGTCGTCCTCTACGCTCCCTAGGATCAGATCCCGGTTACTCTGAATTGTTCGTCACTTCACAGCACAAGTCTACTCGCGTCCCAACAAACTCTCGGCAACTGACTACAAAACGCTTTGACAGAATGCTGGCCAAAATCTTTAACTCTATGTAGCCGTCAGCATGATGTTCCACATTGGATCTACGGGCCAACACTTTGGTCGTAATATTAAGACTCTTCAGGGACTCCCCCATCACGTCCATGCTGACAACAATAATTGTTCTTCTCTTGACGTCTGTTGTCAACAGGGAGATGGTCTGCGTATTGATCGTCACCACAACAGAGGGCACTGCTATCAGTTCATTGCCTGAAATAAACGGTGGTCGTTCCCCTTCAGCACACGTAACAAAATACAAAAGAAAAGCTCAGTAGACGTAAACAATCAAAAACGTGACAAAGAGCAGTGAAGGACGAACAGAGATGAACATGACAACTTTCTGTTTCACCCAATTACACCGACGAGTCCAAAATAATTCTCACTAAATTTCAGTGGCCTCATCCATTAAATTGAAGGGGGATATTGAATTTAATTAATAATGGTGAATGGAGAAATTGTTGAATGAAAGATCTGAAGTGATGTCTAAATGCAGACACGTTAATAAACATACTCTGGCCAAATACGAACCCGAATGATTGTATTTGCGATTTTTTTCCTCTCATTTCCGGTTCTACCCACTCTTTCCTCGCCCCCCCCGCTTTCTGATAATTTTACTTTATAATGCCAAGTTATATAAGCGGGCTTGAATAGTGCTCCAAATTATTTATTTACCAGTAACCACCTGATGATATCGTAAGGTTGAAACCCGGGTAGTGTTGAGGGTGATTTTTCAAATTCATATACTTATGCTGTCGTTGGTCGATTAAAGGTAATTTTAAAAATAATGGCTGCTCCTGCAATTTACGCAACACTCTTCAGTAATGAATTGAACACTCTTGGCTACTGGAGTTTGTATACACCACGTATATTATACATTAAAATTTCCTTTTTCTCCCGTGCACCGATAGCTTAGGGGTAGAATCTCGGACTGATGCTAAATCGGTCGAATTTCGATCCCGGCTTGAAGCAATCGGATGCCTAGCCGCACTGATGAGTGGTGATAAAGCGAAAAAGGCTTGTATGTGGATAATTACACACACACACACACACATATATATATATATATATATATATATATATATATATATATATATATATATCAGTCTGTTCATATCTATCTATTTTAGGAAAATGTTTTCGTGTGACACGTTTCGTCCATCTGGACATCATCGGACTGAGTTTATCTGGGGAATTTTATTTAAAGATTATTATATATATATATATATATATATATATATATATATATATATATATATATATATATATATATATATATATATGTATGTGTGTGTGTGTGTGTTGGTTGGTTATACAAACTCAGTTTAGATATTTTTTGTTTTTGTTTGTTTCCATCACTTTTGTTATTAAATATCCCGCACTGCGATAATATAAAGATTTGCTAAGAATGATGAAACATTGTAAAAACCTGGACGCAAATTTACTGAGGATGACCAAGCGATTAAAACATTTTCGAAACATTTTCGTCTTAATTCGAGTAAAATTTTGTCATATCAAAATTGGGATCAGTCTTGTTACGGTTCGCAACCAATGAATGTTTTGTTTGTAAAAAGTACCCTTTTGTATTCATATGATGTTTTATTTAAATTCCTTGAGGTTTCTCCAATGTATTCTTTGTGGTAATAATTACAGGTAATAGAGTAAATTCCTCTTTTAAGTTTTAGCTTATTGTTCTGTTTTGTATTAAATCTTATTGCTTTAGACCGTAGTTGTGACAAATTTTATGTTGAGTTTAGATCATTTTTTGAACTGTAGTTGTGATAGGGTTAGTTGGTAGAGCAATATATGTTTTGATTCGTTGGGTTTGCAAGAAGGGGCCGCTTTTCTATTTGGGAATATTTTATGAGCCTTTCGTTTCACATTGAATATGAAATAGGGTATTTAAGTGTCTTGAAAGTGTTCTCGAAGCATTTTTCCTTTTCATGTAAATTCCGAGCGCTCTTAAGTAAAGTTCAATGATAATTCCGAAATTTATTTTGTTTTTATGATGAGAACAAATTTTTGAGATCATTTTTATTAGTTGATTTTCGGTGGACACTAAATTTTAAGCGACTGATCTATCTATCTATCTATCTATCTATCTATCTATCTATCTATCTATCTATCTATCTCAGCCTGTTCATATCTATCTATCTATCTATCTATCTTAAAATATTTTATTATTGCATACATAGCATATATTTCAAATTTTCAAAATCTGATCAAATATCAGAATTTGAGTTGAAACGATTTCTTTTCAGTACACTTTCATGTATATATAAATATCTATCTACCTACAACATTCTTTGGTTCCGCCACTTCTAACCTCCACTGCTAGGAACCGCCATGTCATTTATATTCTAGCAAACCACGCACATTCCCTCCGTATTCCATCGGTGGGAAGTCAGTTTTACCGCGGCAGCTTCTTTCCATAAATTACTGCTGTGTGGAACCGACTCCCAAGTGGATATTTCCCCGATAACTACAATCTTAACCTGTTCAAGTCTAGGGCTAAACTGTTATCTCCCCACTCTTATTCGTATAAACTGCCTCTTGGACTGACGATTGCGTCTAGCATGAAACAGACTCTCGCCTTTAACGCCTCTGTTGACTTAGCACACATCATATATATATATATATATATATATATATATATGAAGAAATATAGTATTAAGGTGTGCTATATTTATGGAATAAAGTGCTCAATATCAGAGATAGAGCGTGTGTAAATATAAAAGTGAACATAGAAGTTAACACTGAGAGGCGACAGTCTGTTTCATTCTGTTGAGGTTTCTTCTAGACTCGATGAATTACTTAATTATCTCAAATCCTCGTTAATTTCTATCATTTGTATATCCTTACTTGAACCGGCTTCTAATACTCTGGATGGAGCGGCTTGGTGATGGTAGTCGTGGCTCTCGGAGTCACAGTCCTATGGGTAAAGGAACTTGGATGAGTTCCACCACGGAATATGTGAACGAGCGGCGCAATATTGAGTCTAGTTCGCTACCTTATTCGTCACCGAAGCCTGTTAGTACAGTTGATATGACGTTTGCCTGACAGCTGTACGGGTTTCAATTCTCGGTAGTGGATGCGCACAGCTGATGAGTCCCAAATATAGGACGAGACGGCTGTCCAGTGCTTTCTGTTGAGGTTTCTTCTAGACTCGATGAATTACTTAATATATATATATATATATATATATATATATATATATATATATATATATATATATATATATAAATACATTCCCAAGAGGATAGAATCCAGATAGAACTCAATGTCCATCCAGGACAGAGGAAGTATATAATATAATATAAAAGACTCAAACACTAATATTCCATCGTTATAATTTATTACATTGGAATCGTAATCACAATCCAAATCATCAGACCTATCAATTTACTCACTACAAAGATGCAATTTCGTTTCGGCGCATTTCAATTTCAACGATTTTAACCTGTTCCCTTTCTAGCTGAATAACTATAATTTCAATTGCATTGTGGTGAGTAAAATGGTTTTGTCTATATGATAAAATTATAATAAATAATTATCGCTCTATTATCGGTATCGAGCCCTCTTTTGAATTAATGCTGTGAACGTTAGAATTTATATATTGCTTTCGTTCTCATTGCATCGGATATATATATATATATATATATATATATATATATATATATATATATATATATATATGAATCCTTCATACAAAAAAACAAATATAGAGGTTAATGATTTAAATGGCGAGAATACATCTTCGCAAACAATTTCAATAAGGTACACTAACCCCGAACCTGTATATGAATGATATGATCCCTGTTTATAAGATGTTTATATATATATATTAAGATGTATTCTCGCCATTTAAATCATTAACCTCTATATTTGTTTTTTGTATGAATGATTCATGTAATTATAAATTGAACTGCACCTTTAATCGAAAAATATATATATATATATATATATATATATATATATATATATATATATATATATATATATGTCACACATTATGAAATGGACAAAATCCGGCAATTATTTTAAGACATTTTTTATGTTTATAGGTTCTTTTTTATAGATACAAATATTTAAGTAAATGATCTGTTTTATAATAAACAGTATTAATAACATTTACCAGCCTGAATATCCGAGAAATTCTCATAGAAAATATTCGTCCTCCGACAGGAATCGAACCTGTATTCTATACGGAACCGACATTCATGACGGTAAATGTTGTTTAATACTGGACAATCTCCTACAGAAGGCTACTGAAAATACCATGGACCAAACATGTGGGCAACGACGAAGTTTTAGCGAAAATGAAAACAAAAAAGACACTTACACTTAACATCAGGAAGCGACAATGTAAATTTCTCGGGAACATAATAAGGAAAGACGGCTTGGACGATTTGATACTCACAAGTGGGAAGCAAGAGGGACAGAGGAAAACAACGCTTAACATAGCTGGCGAGATTGAGTCAATGGATGGCGGAACATGGGTTAGGGAAGATAACAAGACAAAATTTATTAAGAGCTGCAAAGGACAGGAAATTGTGGAGAGCCATGATCGCTAACGTCTTGAAGGGACACGGTACATAGAGGAAGAGAATTCCTTTTATATTTTTCAAAATACTATAATTATTGTAAATTATATATATATATATATATATATATATATATATATATATATATATATATATATATATATATATATATCCCAGGTGTTCAATTGTTCAAATCATGTAACAGCATGCAGTAATTGTCCATCCCACAAAATGTTTAATATCTAAAAAAAGAAAAACACTAAACTAATCGAGTTTCTTTTTTGCCAGGTATTCAGATAAGACGTTTAGCCATCTTGACACCATTTGTTGTAAGAATCAATGAAAAACCTTTTGAGTTATTCTGCTTGAAAGAGAACAGGTTAAAATCATTTTCTGTCAGACCCACTATGTCTTCTCAACTGAGCAATGGTGAGAAGAAAAAGATCATTCAGGCCTTCAGTAATGGTACCAACATTCATCCTCTGGCTTCCATCTTCAAAGTCCATTCAAGAACCATCAGGAGAAGGTTGAATAAGTTTATAGTAGAATGAACAGTAGAGAGGAAAACTGGATCAGGGGGTCATAACATCGAGGGATCATCATCTCTAGAGCTAAGTACATTCTTATTGTTCAAAGTAGAGTCCAATAGTCGGACAAAAAGCCCAGTAAGATATCTTTAATCGTTTCTAACATACAACGGATCAAAACTTAATATAACAATTGGACAATTTTGCTATTACACGATTTGAACAATTTTGCTGTTACACCGGTATATATATATATATATATATATATATATATATATACACACACACACACACACACACACACACATATATATATATATATATATATTTTAATGCATGTTTCATTAAATAATATAGACAAGTGTTGTCTATTTATTTTATGTAAATTCTTTTCATATCGTCTGATAAGCTTAATAACATTATCATTAAACGAAGAAAGAAAATCACAATATTGATACATATTTTTTAAAAATCTAATCTAAGCTTTCGGCTTACATAAGCCATTATCAAAGATGACAATTACAGTACAATATATTAAGCAATACACGGACAAGACAGTGATGATAGTCTGTTTCTGTTTACATGGATGATTTCCAAGCAACGATAAACACGTGCATATAAGACGCTGGAAGCGAAAATGGCACCGCCCCTCCTGACGTCACATATGACCACGCGAGAGTGAATATTAGCATTAATAAGTTTATTAAGCTTTAATTTTAGTTGGTTGGTCGTGTTCTTGTTAAGTTTTTTAAACTTTATGTGATCATGGAGTATGTGGTCATGTTTTTTTGTCGTAATCCAATTTGTTTAGGATGACAAAAATGTTGGTCTTATCAGCTTTTTTTACATTAATGTCAGGGTGGTTGCGTAGTTCTTGTGCGGCAATTTTCAGTTGTTTAGAAAGTATTTTTGAGGAGTTTCTGCTTTTATCATGCCGATCCTTCAATGCCTCGGCCTTAAGTAAGTCTTTAAATTCTGGTGTAGTTTCTATTAGTTGTTCATCCTGGAGTTTAACAATGTTTTGGTATAGGGTCTCAATTTCTATTTTTTTAAAAAGTCGATTGTACTTACGGTATATATGGCAGTTAGGACCAAGATTAAGTAATTCTTTTTGGTGCTTAGTTCATAGTTCGAAAGGTTAATGTATTTTTCAGTTTTGTTAGGGAGAGTGATATTACCTTTGTATAATGTATTCAGTATTTTTATAATTTTAAACCGGTGTTGAGCTTCAGATTTGTTAGGAATTTCCGTGAGTCTATGTGTAATTTCCTCCAGTTGGTCCGAGGTAGTTATATCCTGTAGTTTATATATTTGGGCGGCAACCTTTCTTTCAAACATGAGAAATTTTTTTACTGAGTTTTTAATATTTTTTTATTATTTTTTATTCTTAAATTTAATATTCTTAAATAAGGGCGTCTAAAATTGTCCATAGTGTCTATTATCGCAAGCACTTTCAGCTACTTCTTTAGCCCTTTTCAAAGGGTTCGTTGGTAATTTCTGTTAATTTCTTTTCCTGGTGGTCTTTTAAGATGTAGTTGTGTGATGCTGATTGAATGGTAATAGCGTTTATTCCGAGCCCCGTGAAACGAACGTGGATGGAATTCGACTTGCTGTCTTTTCATTTAAAAAAAAAAAAAGAAAAAGAAAAAAGACCTTTAGATTGTTATTTCCATTGTTAAATAAAGTGAGATTAAGGCTGGGTGCCAGATGTTTTTGATGGTTTTTGTTTATATATATATATATATTTCCTTTCCAATATATTTTACTGAGTAGTTATAGTTTAATTTTTCAACATGAACGTTTTGATGGTCCGGTCAACCGCATTTGCTGATATACACACATATTTTATAGCGTTATCTTCCGTTTTCTTTCCTTCATTTTCTTTTTTCTTCCTCTCTTTCTTTCCATTATTTTTCGTTTTTTCAATCTCTTCCTTCCTTTTTCTTTCCTTCTTTCTTTCTTTCTTTCTTTCTTTCTTTCTTTCTTTCAATTATTTACCGTCTTTTTTCTTTCATTTTCTTCCTTCCATAATTGTTTTTTATTTATTTTCATTATTTTTATTCTTTCTTTCTTTCTTTCTTTCTTTCTTTCCATTATTTTCCGTTTTCTTTCTTTCACCTCCATCCTTTTTCTTTCTTTCTTTCTTTCTTTCTTTCTTTCTTTCTTTCTTTCTTTCTTTCTTTCAGTTATTCACCGTCTTCTTTCTTTCACTTTCACTCTTCCATAATTCTTTTTTTTATATTATATAATTCTTATTTCCATTATTTTTTTTCTTTCTGTCACTCCATTCTTTCTTCATTTTTTCTTTCTTTCATTCCATCCCTTTATCTTCTTTTTTCTTTCTTCCTTTTTCTTTCTTTCTTTCTTTCTTTCTTTCCATTATTGTCCTTTTTCTTTCCTTCACTTCCTTCCTTTTTTCTTTCTTTTTTTCAATTATTCACCGTCTTCTTTCTTTCACTTTCTTCCTTCCATAGTATTTTTTATTTATTTCCATTTGTTATTCTTTTTCTCACTTGAATCCTTCTTTCTTTCCATTATCTTCCTTTTCCTTTCCTTCACTTCCTTCCTTTTTCTTCATTCCTTTCTTTCTTTCTTTCTTTCCATTATTTTCCGTTTACTTTTAGTCACTTCCTTCCTTTTTCTTCCTTCCTTCCTTTCTTTCTTTCAATTATTCGACGTCTTTTTTCTTTCACTTTGTTATTTCTGTGATTCTTTTTCATTTATTTCCATTATTTTTATTCTTCCTTTTTTTCACTTTTTTCTTTCTTTCCATTATTTTCCGTTGTCATTCCTTCACGTCCTTCCCTTTTCTTTCTTTCTTTCCATTATCTTTCGTCTTCTTTCATTCACTGCATTCCTTCCTCTTCATTATGTTTCGCGTTCTGCTTACCGCCTTTTTCTTTCTTTTCTTTCCAATATTTCCCCCCTTCTTTTCCTTCCTTATTTCCTTTCATTCTTTTCTCTCTTTCTTTTCTTTTATCTCTTTCTTTCTTTTTTTCCCTTACTATTTTTCTCTCTCTTTCTTTTTCCTGACCTTGATTTTGTTTTCGCTCTCCACTTCCAGAAATCACGTTTTCATTTCTTCACGTGTCCTGACGCGTTCGATGTCGTATGAATGAAGCATGAAGCGACGAGATATTCTACTCTTTAGCGACAACAGGAAACACAGGTGACATCCCCGGCTTTGGTGACATCTCTCTCTGTGTCTCTCTGTCTGTCTTTTCTTCTTTCCCATAGGACAGCGCTTTCAATTCTCGCTCATTCTTTCTTTCACGCTCTTTCCAAATCCCTCTCTTTATTTGTTTCACTCTCCATCTTGTCTCGACTTTCGGATCTTTCTCATTCACTGGGATGAATTACACACGCCAACCTTTTTCTTTTTTTCATTCAACTATTTTCGTAAGAGTCGCGGTCACTTGTTTTTTTTTTTGTTTTTTTTTTGTTGTTTTTTTTTAATCCACTCTCTGCTCTTCTCCCTAAAACGGTATCTATCTCGCGCATTCTCTCATTTATTACTCTCACTTTGTATTAGATACACCGTACTCTTCCTCTCGCAGTATTTTTTTTTTTTATCTTTTATTGAAAGACTAAATCAATATTTTTTTCTCTCTTTCTTTCCGTTATTTTCGTCTTTGTTTATTAAATTTTTTATGTTTTTCTTTCTTTTATCTGTTATACCATTATTTTTGTTTTTATTCTTTCTCTCTTTCTTTCTTTCTTTCTTTCTTTCTTTCTTTCTATCTGTTCCCTATTTCGTTTTTCCTTCTTACTTTTTTTGTCTTTCCATTTTTTTTCGTTTTTTTTTATTCTTCTAGTTTTGTCTTTCCACAATTTTCTATTTTCTTTTGTTCTTTATTGTGTCTTTACTTTTTTAATCTTTCTTTTTTTCTGTTATGCCATCATTTTATTCTTTCTTTCTTTCTTTCTGTCTTTCTTTCTTTCTTAATTTCTTTCTTTCTTTTTTTCTTTTTTTTTTTGTCTATTCCTTCTTACTTTTTCTGTCTTTGCATTATTTTCAGTTTTTTTTTGTTCTTTCTTTCTTTGCTAACTTTCTTAATTCCATTCTTTCTTTTCGTCTTTTTTTTCCATTCTGTTATTTTTATCTTTCCACAATTTTCGTCTTCTTTTTTCTTTATTCTATCCTTCTTTTTTTTTTCGTATTTCTTTCTTTTTTACGTTATTCCATTATTTTCTTTCTTTCCTTCATTCTTTCTTTCTTTCTTTCTTTCTTTTATTTTCGACTTCTTTTTTCCTTTCTTTCCTTCCTTCTTTCTTTCTTTCTTTCTTTTATTTTTGACTTTCTTTTTGTTTTTCCACAAATTTCGACTTCCTTTTTTTCTTTATTCTTATCTTCCTTTCTTTTTTTGTTTGTTTTTTTTTCTTTCTGTTATTCCCTTGCTTTCTTTCTTTGTTTCTTTCTTTTATTTTTGCCTTTCCATTATCTTCGACTATTTTCTTTTCTTTTTTTTCTCATTTCGCTTTTTCTTTCCTTTTTCTCTGATTTCCCATTTTTCTTATCTCTTTTTTTTATTTCTTACTTTCTCGCTGTCTTTCTTTTTCTTCCTTTCTTTTCGTTATTTTCCTCTTTCTTATTACTACCTTCTTTCTATTACTTTCCTTCCTTCTTTTTTTCCTTCTCATTGACATCTCCGATGAGAATTGTATGAATTATCAAGATTCTATTGTAAGCGATTCTATCTGCTAGAACGATGAACATCTCTCACATATTTGATGTCAATGGACAAAATGTATTTTCGCCTATCATTCTGTTGCTGAGTAATAATAATAATAAGAAAAAAAACACAACTTCTTTTGCCTGATTTGTTGTGTAGAATTTATATTTATAAAAAACGGTCATCTATTTGGGAGTTCAATGTAATCATTCCACGTAAGCCTGCATTTTCGGAGTAGATATCTACGAAACAGAAAGACATAAAAATTTAATCTTAATTTAGCTTTTTTTAAAAAAAAATAGAAAATAAATAATGATAATGAAAAAATATCTTGTAACTTATTGAAAAGGATTCAATAAATAAATAGACAATACTAAAATGACTGGTCGTTTCAGCAAATTCTTTCTGTAATACACTGAAATTTGTGGGAGGGGTCGTATAAAAATGGATGGAGAGAAATATGGTTATGAGCTTAAAGTTCTTTTTTCTCAATCCTGCTTAAGTAGTACTGCAAAACTTGAACCCCCCAATTAGTCGTAGCTGATTTAAAGAAGGGAAAGAATTAAGAGTTTTGCGTTTTCGTTGTTTTTATTTGGTTTTGTTTTGTTTTTTACATGAAATAAAGACACCATTTGGTCGATGTCGCCATTTTTTTTTTTTCGTGGGCTACAGAAAGCAATAGGAACAGTAAAATTATCAATTATTAAGAAGAAAAACCAAAGAATTTTTTTATTATTAAATTGTATGTTTTTTATCTTTTTCAGAAACTTCGAAACTTTTGGTTGAAATTTTGTTTTCCTTGCATCAACAGCTGACTATAAATGATTAATCTGGTCAATTTGAGCGTTTTTTCTTCTGCGGTGAAAAGCACATTGATTTGGAAAGTTTTGCAAAAATAAAGTAATTGTCGGATTCTAAGGAAAATTTCAGGACTTATTTACAAATGAATGAAATTATTTTAGAAGTTTCTTTATTAAAAAATCTTGCTAATTTTTTTAAATTTATGAAATGTTATGATTTTTTTTCTGTGAATTTTGTAGCGTTTTGGTGATATTATTAAGTAAAAGCTATATTTACAAATCATAAATGGAAAAGCTTACTACAATTCTACGATCCCCAGTATTTTAAAAAGAATTGCGTGCGTATATAAATGTACCGATTTTTGTAAATACGGACGGTCGTACACGACATTATCTGAAAATAAGAACGGTAACTCTAGTAAATTTAAAATTAAAATTTATTGTTAATTTTCTAACATTTCTGCAACAAGCGTCTTCATAATTAAATCTATAAAGCCGCAGTACGTAAAATTCAATAAAATACATTATTTAGAATATTTTCCTAAATTTTTCTGATTACTGTGTAGTTAAAATATATATAAAAAAGGCGTTCACCTTGTATTCGTCATGCAATTTTTATAGTTATGTACTCTTTACTTAAAAAATAAAATTAAGTTATTGATAAATGTGTCAACACCACACAAAATACTCACCTCTGTGTTAATATATGCTTTTTAGTGATACTAAAAGTCAGTAGAATCCATATTAATTCAGATTAATTTTAATTAGAATAAATTACAATCTTTTAAATATTTTCAACTTCTGTATTAATCTGTTGCAGTTAGATGATACTGTTATTAAGTAATAGATATATTTACAAATCATAAATGGAAAGGCTTACTACAATTCTGCGATCCCCAGTATTTTAAAAAGAATTTGTGTGTGTATATATAAATGTAGTGATTTTTTAAATACGGATATTCATACACGACATTATCTGAAAATAAGAACGCTAACTCTAGTAAATTTGAAATTAACATTTATTTGTAATTTTCTAAGATTTCCGCAAAATGAATCTATAAAGCCCACAGTACCTAAAATTCAATAAAGTATTAAATTGTTTAGAATATTTCCCTAATTTTTTCTCAGTAAAGGGTAGTTAAAAATATATATAAAAACGGCGTTCACCTTCTTGTCGTCATGTAATTTTTATAGTTATGTACCCTTTACTTAAAATACCAATCATTAAGTTATCGATAAATGTGCCAACACCACACAAAATACCCACCTCCGTATTAAAATAGACTTTTTTGTGATACTAAAAGTCAGTAGTATCTGTTTTAATTCCGATTAATTAAACTTTAAATCAGTTAATCTTCCTAAAAGAAATTTTCAGAAAAGAATATTTTAGTTTTGAAAGAAGTTTTAATAAGGAGAATTATGTATTAACAGATATTCCAATATGGCCGATTTTAGCGATTTAAAAAAAATTAAATTCAGTTTGAAATACGGCAGAGTATTAATCTATTTAGCTTGGAATTAAATTTAAAAATAAAAAACATCAAGAAAGATTTTTCATTTTTAAGATGCATATTAAACGCTAGGTATCGCTTTTTTTGGAAGCACACACAAACATACACACATACACACACACACACACATAGTGTATTGGGGCAGCAGATCATTATTTAAACATATATTGTTAAATATAACAGACAATGAATGTCTATTATGTTTGATCACGAGCCGTTCTAATGTTCGAATGTTTGCTTTAATTTCGAGTGAAAATAAAAACAAAAAAGGGTCCGTCTACGAAACTCTGGAGTCGGGATGCTAAAGGTAACATTAATCAAATATATATATATATATATATATTGAGACATGTTTCATTGAATAATTTAGACATGTTCTTCTGTCTACTTATTTTCAATAAAATCCTTTTATATTCGCGGATAAGCTTTTTGGTGTCATTATTGAAGAACGAGAGAAAATCTCCGTGTTTATACATATTTCTTTTATTTCCGGGTACTTTCGACATAGCACGTCACTTTTAAGAAATTTAACTTTCAGATGAACAGAACAATTTTGTCTTTGATAATAATGAACACTGCAATATTTATCTTGTAATAAAAAATACCCTGATGATGACATTGAAAATTGAAAACAAGTAGTCAGAATATGTCTAAATTATTCAACAAAACTTGTCTCAATGAAAACATGCTGTCAAAATATACTATATATATATATATATATATATATATATATATATATATATACCAATGTAAAAGAACGAAGAGTAAAATTTCAACGTTCAAAACATTAATCAGGTCTCAATACAAAATTAGAGTAATAAATATTTATTTATTATGCACTGTTACATTAGAACATGTATATACCTACTACAAAACTGTACAACTTGTTTCAACGTCAAATTAACGTTTCTTCGGGTGGGAAACGTTTTTACCTGCAAAACAACTTTGAAATGAAAGTAAAAGTGATTAATCGTGTGTCATATTTGCCCCTTTGTCTTGTGGAAATGGATGCACAAAATGTGATGATTTCTTTCCAGATTCAAAGAATTAAATTATGCTGTCTTTAACTGTACTCTCATCCAAACTTTTGCTTTTATCACCTCCTCTTGATATTACAAGCTCAAAGTCTCAAATTACTGTGTAAATTACTCTCTCGAGTAGTTTGCAACACCCTATTTATCATATCTCAGTTGCATCTCTGTCTTTGGGCAGAGTGGGCTCAGGGGCGGATCTGTCACAGGACAGAGTTGCAACTGAGGAAAAGTATACAGAAAGGTGCCCAGCCCTGGGCGGGGGAGCTGCATGAGGCCGCACCCTCACATTGCACCACAAAGAGGGATCGATTGCGGGGGGCTGCGGGCAATTTTTTGT